GCTTTGGCGGGGGCGGGCGGGTCCAGTTTGGCGCCCCAAGGTCCGGCTTGCACTCTAGGCGAATGCCTAGTTCGCCTAGCGGGTGAGCCGGCCCTGTCTGGGCATGTAGTGTTTTCCTGGGGCAGGTCTTGTGGCTCACATGCTCCGTGTGTTCATGTGCTTGTGTCTCTCTGCAGGCATTCTAAAATTACGGCACGTCTGGAACTTGCAGAAGATGCGGTGGTGAGTATGAGAGGGAGCGGCAGCTGGGGTGGCCATTTCCCCGCTGGGGGCAGGGGATCCCCCACGGCCAGCGAGAGCTTCTCTGTTGCCCCTCAGCTGGCCGTTGGTGGAAGAAAATGTTGGGGAAAGGAAGGGGGGGGGGTGCGGTGTTGCCGGCCGTGGCCCAACCAGGCCCGTAGCCAGGATTTTGGGGCTTGTGGGGCAATTTTTTTCTATTGGGGCTGAAGTTCTCAGTGCAGAAAGAAAAGCCATTTAGCCAGTGGAAAGCTGCTACCAGGATAGATCTCTAAATTGCAAGCTGTCAGCCACGTTATATGACAGTTCTCAGCTGTTGCAAGTTAATCACTTGTTCCAGCCTAAGCAACAATCTGAAAACAAGCCAGTAGGTCGGGGTGATGACTTCTATAGGCAAGAAAGTTAACACTGAGGCAGAAAAAGCTCTCTTCAAGGAGACCAGTTTCTGGACACAGAGTGAAAAGGGGTCCTAGAGGTCACCTACTCCAACCCCCTTGCTCAGTGCAGAAATTATTCAACTACATCACCCCACTCTGCTTAAAGAAGCACACGCCTTTAAAAATGTTTTAAAATGATTGGGGGGGAACATTTACAGGAGAAATTCTTGTGGGGCTGTGCCTTTAAGGAAGGGGGCAGAGCCCCCGAATGCCCCACCATAGCTACAGACCTGGTCCCAACACGTTGACATCACTCTCTGTGCCTCTAGAAGTGACATCACTGTGATGCTGGAGAGCCTTAGGCATTTGGACGGAATTCTAGGGCTGAACTATGGAGTTTTGCCCAAATGCCAGAGCGTCCCCAGTGTCGCACTGATGTTGCCATCAGTGAACATCGCCAGGAAGAGCCCCCACGGCTTGTAAGTCCCCCTGCCAGTTGCGGGCCCTGCCCTGGCAGTGATGGAAAGTGCCGTCAAGTCACAGCTGACTTACATTAACCCTGGGATTTTAAGGCCAGAGATGTTCAGAGATGGTCTTGCCTTTGCCTGCCTCTGCATAGCAACCCAGGACCTCCTCGGTGGTCTCCCACCCAAGTACTAACCAGGGCCGACCCTGCTTAGCTTCTTGAGATCTGACGAGATCGGGCCATCCTGGGCCATCCAGGTCAAGGCAAGAGACGAACAGAGGTGGTTTTGCCATTGCCTGCCTCTGCGTAGCGACCCTGGAGTCCCTTGGTGGTCTCCCACCCAAGTACTAACTTAGCGTCTGAGAGATGACAATATTGGGCTGTCCTGGGAAATCCAAATCACGGAAGAGACGGAGGTGGGTTTGCCTTTGCCTGCCTCTGCGTAGCAACCCTGGACTCCTTTGGTGGTCTCCCACCCAAGTACTCGCCTGGGCTGACCCTGTTTAGCTTCCGAGATCTGACGGGATCAGGCTAGCCTGGGCCATCCAGTTCAGGTCAAAAGACATACAGAGATGGTTTGCTCTTGCCTGCCTCTGCACAGCAACCCTGGACTTCCTCAGTAGTCTCCCATTCAAATACTGACCAGGGCTGACCCTGCTTAGCTTCCGAGATCTCACAGGATCGGGCCAGCCTGGGCCATTCAGGTCAAGACAAGAGATGCACAGAGGTGGGTTTGCCCTTGCCTGCCTCTGCGTAGCAACCCTGGTCTCCCTTGGTGGTCTCCCAAGGTTGACCCTGCTTAGCTTCCGAGAGATGACAATATTGGGCTGTCCTGGGCCATCCAGATCATGGATGAGACGGAGGTGGTTTGCCCTTGCCTGCCTCTGCGTAGCAACCCTGGGCTTCCTTGGTGGTCTCCCATCCAAATACTGACCAGGGTCGACCCTGCTTAGCTTCTGAGATCTGACGAGATCAGGGTAGCCTGGGCCATCCAGGTCAGGGCACCTGGCAGCTCTTCTACTGGCTACTTCCCTAAGAGGAAGAGATTAACTCCTCCTGCAATCTTTGGTCTCCGGGGGACCATCCCCTCCCGTTCTCTTTGGGATCTCCACGTGTTTTGGAGGGCAGAACTGGCACCTGGGCCCCGGATAGTCAAGTCAGGCGGAAGCCGTGCCCTGGTGCGGTCTTTAACCCGCTCTTTGCTCCCCCAGGACCCCAACGGCTGCCGACATCTGTTTCACCCAGGAGCTGCATTCGCGTTTCTTCAGCCTCGGGCAGTGTGTTCCTATCTGTCGAGGTAGGTTTCTGCTTTGGCGCGATGCGGAAGGCCAGCGAGCAGGTGGCGCTTTGGGGAGACAAAATAAAGGGTGGCTTCAGGGGTCGTTTCCTGCAGGAGCGCACAGGAGCTGAGCTCCGGCAGTAAAGAGCCCGGGGGGCGGGCACATGCAACAAGCCCCACCCCCTGCTCCCAGCAGCCCTCAGTCAGAGCAAGAAGCAGCCAGGTAAGTTGCAGAGCCCCCAACCCCCCAGTCCAAAATAGTCCAGTGGTACCTTTAAGACCAGGTTTTATTCCGGTACAAGCTCTCCCTCCTCTGCGAGGACAGACCTGCACGTCACCCCCTTCCCCAATAGCTAGCAACCCAAGACAGTCCAGTGGCACCTTTAAGACCAGGTTTTATTCAGGTGCAAGCTCTCCCTCCTCTGTGAGGACAGACCTGCACGTCACCCCCCCC